CGCCTCCCGGGTTTACGCCATTCTCCTGCCTCAGCCTTCCGAGTAGCTGGGACTACAGGCGCCCGCCACCTCGCCCGGCTAGTTTTTTGTATTTTTTTTAGTAGAGACGGGGTTTCACCGTGTTAGCCAGGATGGTCTCGATCTCCTGAACTCGTGATCCACCCGTCTCGGCCTCCCAAAGTGCTGAGATTACAGGCTTGAGCCACCGCGCCCGGCCAAAATGTGTACTTTTTCTAACTAGCTTTATGGCAACTTATTACTGTAAATTTTAAAGATAATTCCTTTCGTATTATCTTATTCTATATTCTCCTCTGTCCTCTTCCTCCTAATAAAATAGTCTGTAGTCTTTTAGTTTAGATTTGGTTGTAGGTGTATACATTTTTCCCAAAATTTCTAATTATAACTGGTTTTTTTTGTTTTTTGTTTTTTTGAGATAGAATCTTGCTCTATTGCCCAGGCTAGAGTGTGGTGGTGCAATCTCGGCTCACTGCAGCCTCTGCCTGCCTGGTTCAAGTGATTTTTGTACCTCAGCCTCCCAAGTAGCCAAGACTATAGGCTACCACGCCCAGCTAATTTTTGTATTTTTTTTGGTAGAGACAGGTTTTACCATGTTGCCCAGGCTGGTCCTGAACTCCTGATCTCAAGTGATCTGCCTGCCTCAGCCTGCCAAAGTATTGGGATTATAGGCATGAGCTGCTGCACCCGGCCTAATTATTGTAACTTTTATGCACAAAGACTTTCATTTTGATGGGGCAGGGTAATGTGGAGTCTAGGTATGTGACTATGGGTGAAGCTCCACTGTTACAGGCTGTGTGGTAGCAGATAAGTGACTTCATTTCTTTGGGCTGCAGCTTTCTCATGTGTAAAATGGAGTTAATAGTACTCACCTCATTGGGTCATTGGAATAATTTTTTTGGGGGGGATAGGCTCTCATTCTGTCGCCCAGGCTGGAGTGCAGTGGCATGAACACAGTTCACTGCAGCCTTGACCTCCCTGGGCTCAGGTGATCCTCACACCTCAGCCTCCTGAGCAGCTGGGACTACAGTTGAACACCACCATGCCTGGCTAATTTTTGTATTTTTTTGTAGAGATGGGGTTTTGCCAGGCTGGTCTCAATCTCCTGACCTCAAGTGATCCGCCCACCTCAGTCTCTCAAAGTGCTGGGATTACAGGGGTGAGCCACTGCACCCAGCTGCTACTACTGTGTTAAATGAT